GAGGGGTCGTCTGCAAACAGTGCTATCACTTTGAATACTTTTAGTACATTTTCATGATTCTGCTGGAGACGGTTCTTTGGTTTATCCAGGAGACTCAGGTTTGCCCCTCTTTATTGAGTACTATGCATATTTTATTTAAAGTAACTACTACTTTAACTTTTAAAAATGTTTTTCCATCTCATCAACAGTGAGGGATCGTCTGCAAATAGTACAATCGCTTTGAATACTTTAAGTACATTCACGTGATTAGGTTTTTAACTGAGTATTTTTACAGTACTTTTACTTAAGTGAAGGATCTGATTACTTCTCCAAACACTTGATTATTAGTGCAGGGTGTGATATGAAACACTCCAGCTGTCCTCCAGGCCCAGTTCGATGGTTCCTCAGTGGTTCTGTAACACAGAACAGAGCAGCGTGGTACCTCTGCGTGGTGCTCCTCGTTCTGCGTCAGGACCTCCACACAGAGCTCTCCGAGGCGCAGCATGTCCTCCAGACGCTTCTCCGGAGCGGCCTGAGGGTCCACTGAGGGTCCCACACACAGAGGGGAGCCCCAGGGGTAGGAGAGGAACACACACTCAGTTAATACACAACTACAACTCCCATAATCCTCAGCTTCCTAAAACCACCAGACTCAGGGACAGTGTCATCCCACAGGCCATCAGACCGTTAAACACCTGACCTTTGAAACAACATCCATAACATTCATCTGTTTGCAACTTATCAATATCCCAATCACTATAGTCTCTTCTGCACTATTTCTATTCTATTCTGTGTTGCTCTGTTGTTGGAGCCTGTCACCTCAGAGGTGTCATATCTACACTGTAGCTATGCACACATGACAACTAAAGCCTTGAACCTTGAACTCTCGCCGCCCCATTAAACCCCTTTGTAACCGCTGAATGCTTGAGATATCCTGCTCCTCAGAGGATGAACCCTTTAGATTTCAAAGATCCCATTGACTACCTCTGACAGGTTTGAATCACTAACAGCACGACATGAAGAGGTGTTAAGTGCATGAACAGCACGGCGAGCTTTAGGCGTGTCATCCCTTACATTTGTTTATGCATTTCATTTTAAGATGCAGAGATATAACTCTCAGTACTTTTGGAAGTCAGGTGACGACAACTCTAACTGCCGAATCCAAACAGCTGACTGCTATTTACATTGAATACGTAACGACTATACTTTGTTTTAAACCAAATTGTGATCTTTTCCTAACCTCGTAACCATGTAGTTTTGTTTAAGACAAAGTTCACCACATGTTTAAAAACCGTGTCGGTAAATGACGAGTTGGGAATAAAGACAGGGCGTTAAATGACACGCATGAAGCTTCAAATGCATGACATCAAACAGGAAGTGCTCTTAAAAGTGGCGTAAAAGGGCTTGCCCTGAAATCACGTTGGTTTCTGGGATATTATAGATTTGTATGTAGCTACTGAACCACAGAGTGATGTGGAGTCATGTGAAGGTTACATATATATAAACTTAAAGGTCACCTATCATGCTATTTTTAGGCAATAGCATAGGTCTCAGATATAAAATAAAAATATATAAAAAACATGTCTATGAAGTGTTTTACTCAAAATACCAAACAGATCACTCATTCTAGCCATGCCTCATATCCCTCTATTTCACTTCCTGTTTCTAAAGTGCTGATTTGGGTAGAAAGCTTTAAAAAGGAGGGGTCTGAGCTCATGCGGGACCCGGCAGCTACTGTCTAAACTAAATACTGCCGTGATGAAACGCCATATCATGGATTATCAAGGATTCTCTCTGAAACAGTATGGAGCTCAAAGGCTTTCTCTCTTGCCGGTTATACCACAAGGTGAGTTCCTTTTTACTTCCTGCTTCTTCACACACATGCTCTCCAGTACAGGTTAGCTCTGAGTGTTAGCGATGCTAATGTAAACACCGATCATATTACGATCAAACAGTCGGGCATTGTTTCTGATAGCAACGTTTCTGATAGGGCCGTGGGTCCACATTTCAGATATTACGTCATATCGGACGCAAATCTGGATCAGCTCCGTTGTTCCCCCGTTTTTAGTGATTTGGGTACGGAGGAAAAGAGAGAGGGTTTTATTTTCTGACGCTGCGTGAGTTCCCCGACACACC